ATAAAAATTCACTTTCCCACTCTGAAGGCATTATTCTGCTATATGCAGTAAGTGATGTTTATTAGATAATGCTTAGTTTCCTATGTAAAATAAACTTTCATATTTTGAATCCAGCTGAGTCTTAAAACTGTTATTTGTTTTAATCTAATATTGTGATATAAGGTGCAGTTTTTAAACTAACTGTGGTCAATCCTTTTAGAACTACTGCTTGGGATCAGCAGAAAGAGAAACATGGTATCTAAAAATAAATCATTCATTCTGTAGTTGTTTGGATCACAGATGTCATTTTTAAAAGATATAAGTTAATCTTTTCTCATTTGCAGTTACAATCTGACCAGTATAAATACAAATTATTTCTATTCCAACAAATATTTTATTCAGATATACTTTATTAGTACTTTGTCATTGCTTAAAGCAACTTCTTTAAGAACATACTTAACGTGAAGAGGTCTCTGTTTTTCCTCCTTTGGGAGAAAACAAACATTTGAGCTGTTCCAGATATTTCACACACATTTTCATACTTAATCCCACAATGATCCCATAGACACAATCTCCATTTTACAGATGAAAACACAGGCTCAGCGTGAATAACCTGCCCAAGATCATATAGCAAATAAGTGTCCTAGAAAAGAACCCAGTGATTACCAGAGAGATACTTTCTAGAAAACCACCTATCAGCACACTATTTCCTGACAAAAGAGACACCCTGCCTCTGTCCCTATCCTCACCAGCGCAAATGAGATTGTTAGGTTTGTGTCCCCATTAAAATAGCCAAATCAAATCAGAGACAGGCTCCTGGTTGGAATTCTGTTTTGTATTTCTCCAAGAACTAAATGACAGGGCAGAAGAATCACATAACTCTACAGCTTCAGTTATAAGTCTTGTTTGCTACCCCCAACCCATCCTTTATACCCATCTTATGAGAAAAGCAAATACTTAGGGTAAATTTTAAAAGGTTACAGCACTCCAGGACTATTTCATAGGAAAAGTATGAAAATGCTCATGTCTTCATTTCTTTTATTTTTTTATAAAAAGCAGGCATAAAATACAATTACATTACTACAAAGATGCAACAAAATTAAAAAAAAAAGGGGGTACGATTTTTGTTCAGAGGGGACAGCTGATCAAATATTTATGATTATCTAAACCATGCAGTTCATAACTTATTACAATTCCAAACAAAACTCATTATTATGGGGAAGGGACGTGGGGCGAGGTCCCCCAAGCATAATATTCAGCACTGTCACACAGTGCTTACCTTCAAAGTGCTTTACAATTCAACTACGGTGTCTTCACAACACAGGGAAGCTGAAGCCTTATTCCAGGGAAGGAGAGGTGAGTCAGTAGCAGTGTCAACACAGACTGAGAAACTCAGAAGTGACTTGCTCAAATAAGATTTAAACATGTTATTTAAAGGATGTTCCAATAAGGTTAATATCATGTCTGAGTTTCTCTATTTTAACATCAGAATCCTATAAGAACAGATAAACAGCAGCATAACTTCTTTAAGTGTGGTTTGGCAATCTGGAGCACTTCTTGTTCAGGACCTACAGACAGGCTGATGCAAAGGAGATCCTTCAGAGCCAGATTTGTACAACTGCGGCACAGGTTAGTTTTAAAGGCATTAAACTTAATTTTATATTTATTGGTATACTTATCCATTAGTTAGCTAGAGCATTTTAAACTTTCAAATAGATTTTTTTTTTAAAAAAATCTTGCTTCTAGAAAGCATGTTTTTTTAAAATTAATACTTTAAAAAAAATCCACTATACATTAATTTTCCACAGTAATACCGGCACCAGTTTTCCTTCCACTTCTGTCTCACTATCTCCACAAAAGTAAAAAAATCCAACTAAGAAAATCCCAATACTCACTATTTCTTAGTTCCCAATAGGAGGTATTTATGGCTCTAGGAGAAATCAGGTGTGAAGAAATAAGCAACTTATAGTCTCATAAATATTTATCTTGGAAGCTTTGGGGCCTCAAGAAAAAGAGAAACTGGCACAAAATCAGGTTGTGTCATATTTAATGAGTGATGGGGAAGAGAACATGTGGACAGGTGCATGCACTCATGTATGCACAGAAAAGCGGCAATGTGGTAAAAAGCAAATTCTTACCCAAGGTCAGAATTTTTTATTAAGCGCATTTCTATTAGTTGCACAAACAAACCAATGAATCCTTATGTCAAACCATGAAATGTGAAGAATCTCCATGGGAGAGATTTCTTTCACTCTTCAGAATACCTTTTTCCCCTCAAATACTTCACACGGATTTTCCTGGTACAGTCGCATCACACCATGATCCTCCATGTTCTCTAATATATGCAGCATTCAAAATTCAAACTTCTGCCTTTTTAACTCAAATATTGCAGTTACTCATGTGTAAACTTGAAATTGTTTCACCTTAATAAAGTTTATTAAAAATATATATATATATATATACTCTCCAATTCAGAATAGGATAGAACCTCCCATAGTGTAACAAAATCTTTATATAAAATATTAATTCAGTCTCCTTTTAACAACTCTAATGAATGGAAATATTTATTCTATATAAATTTTAATCTTAAAAAAAAAAAAAGCTGTCCCCCAAAACCAGAACTGCAGAACATACCTGCGAGAGAAATGGCATGCACATCTAGTTTTAGCACAGACAGCGTAAAAGAGTGCAGACTGGATAATGTAAGAATAACAAAATTCAGTTTCAGTACGTCAGTAGGCCAATGACTGCTCTTCAATTTCCACAATGGTATCTATAATGGGGATCTAACTCTTTAAACATCTCTATACTGACACCAGAGGGAATCAGTGAAAATTATGTCTACTTCCTTCATTGAAACATTAGATGATGTATTTCAGTATCATACCAAACTGTGTGTATGTATATAAAGAGAGACTGATAAAAGACTACATAATTTTTTTTTTTTTTTTTTTTTAAAAACCTGATGCTTACCATTGCTGCATACTGTTGTGGTATAAAACATATACTTATCTGTGACCATGAGAATTATAACTGGAATGGTCCTGCCTAAACTGTAACAGCATTTAAAAAATGAAAATCAAATTAAGTGCCCTTGAGGCCACTTCTTCCCAGTTATCAGTTTTTTCTTAACCCAATACTGAAATATTGCCATACACAGTTGTGTGTTTGAAGATCACATTTAAATATTTAAAATATATCTACAGTATGTCTTAGTTTTCTTTATATTTACGGTAATTTTTGAATCTTGAGTGTGAATGTAAAGATAATCACAAATGTCTTTACCAGAAATAAAAGCACATCTAGGGTAGCCAACAAATTCAAAGCAAAGCAAACATTTTGTACTCACAGACTAACACTGAGGTCTGTAAAAAGGGTTGGATGAATAATAGATACACATCAAAGATATATTAGTTCTAAACTATCCATTATTGTTTCTATAACCAATACTTTAAAAAAATTTTGTTAAACAATCAAAATAGGCTGACATTGATATAACTATTATGTGTAAAAATAGTGCACTATTTTTCTTCCACAAAGCAAGTTTGCATCCTAAGAGCTGGTAAACACTTTTTTTTTAATACAGAAAAGGGCTGAGACTTTGAAAAAAAATTAAATTAAGGCATTCGAAATGGATAAAGTTGCCTATCATGAAGCATTAGGAAACTGATAAAATTAACTTCAAACTTCTTGTTATAGTAACTGCTTAAACATGAACATGCAGCTTCCATCAGGTACATAGGAATGAGTGATAGAAACTCCAACATTATGGCTTTATACAAGTGCATAGTTGCAACTGCAGTAAGTAATGATATCTGATTAATGTATATAAAAAATAAAGGGGGAAGTTTAAAAAACCCTCTTGCAGTATTACAGTACTATATATATATATGGTTTTTTTAATATATATATATATACACAGTATAATGGTCACTTCTGAAAGATGCAGTCAATATCACTGTAGTGGAGTCCATTTCCAGATTCTTCTGGTAAATGTGCTGGTGAATGTCACTATTGAAGCTGAAAAGATGATTTCTTTAAACTTTAAGTCTTCTCAATCCTTTTGTGCAATGTAGTGTGAGTGACTGCCAAGAGAGCTTTATGAAACAAGTTTGGAAGAGTTGCACATGATATCCTTACTCTATTAACCAATCATGGTTGGTTCAATTTGTTGCCTCAAAGGAGCCCAGGAAATCTCTCCAAAATTTGTCATTTATATTACAGGGAAAAAAGGAACATATATGTATATGTGTATTTATCAGTCTCTCAGGAAAATATAGCTTTTTAAGAAATTTTGGGCCATCATATTTCAGTCTTGTTTTAACTGGAAGAATACGATCACCTTGAATAAACGACTGCTTTCATAGAAGGCAGTTAGCTGGAAAGAAAGGAAAAATAAAGTTAGCTGATACAATTTAAATTGTATAACAGCTGAAATAATTTAAGTGACTGTTAAATTCCTTGAAAAGGCATTCCATTCACATTATTAAACTATACTGTCTTCCTGCTACTATATTTTTAACACCTAAATCATGCATAAGCATACTTATTATATTACTTTTCTTATTTTTAGGTACATGGCAATTATATTCTTTCTCAATATATGGACTTTGAAAGTTCCATACTGGCTACAAACATTACACACAAGTTTTAATACGGTTAATTAGCTATTAGACTTATTTAATAATATGCCACAGAATAACTCTGAATATAAGTTTGATTTGCTGTTTAACTGCTAGCTGCCTATGTAGCTGAAAGAGCAGTGGACTTACGGACCAGGTTCTAGTTGGCTGTTTGACCCTCAGCCACATTTTTCTTATTTATAAAATAACAAATATGTTATAGTAAATATATGCAAAGATACTCTGCTAACCAGGTTATAAATAAATCCCAACAGCACATGCTTTATGTTTTGCAACATGCTTACTTAGATTAAGACACACATTACTTCTTTTAAAACCATTCTATGTAAAAGATTTAAGTCATGAGGCTCAACTTTCATTCACATCTCCTTTAGGCACTATTAACCAAACTATTTCACATTTTCTAAAAGCACAAGAGTTTTCACAGCAGTACTACTAACATTCTTCAGCAAGGGTAACATTAAATTCTCACAAAGCAAACATTTCACAGCATCACACACACAAAAGCCAAATCAGAAATAACTATTTCACAGCACTTATTAGACTTATAAAGTTTTTATAGTTTCAATTCTTGCAAGTTGGAAAGAAAGAGGAAGGAAGGAGAGAGAGATGGAGAAAGAAAAGACTCCCATGCTATGTTCACAAACTAGTACAGTTGTAGGAACTTGAAAACATTGTAATATTTTACTTCTCCTCTGAATATGGAATGAATATGGAATTAACTAACTCCTTTTGTGGTTTCTACATGTTTCATTCCTAAAATAAAAAATTTTAATTCCAACTGTATTGGAAATTTATAGCCAATAAAGAATCTGAACATAGCATTTCACTTTTATACTTAACATGGCAATTTCAGTTAGAAACTTGTCTGAAAACTACTTTTTAAACTACATACTATTAACAACTTTATAAATTTTCAAAACTAGTCAAAAATAATGAAAGCCCAAGTGCAAACGACATGCACTATGTAGAAGTACTAAAATAACTCATTTTTCATTTTTTGATTTACCCCAGTTATTTCTTCAGAAATCAAAAACATCGTCATCATCATCACCACCATCAACATCATCAAATGACCAATCCCAGTCTTTAAATGCCAAATCAAGCAATCTGCAATAGGAGGTTTGCAAATTTATACTCTAACATTCTTTAGAAATTGCAGCTTAATGTTATGACCTAGAAATCATACTTTGAATATGCTGTAAACACTTTAACTTTCTCTTCATGGTTAACAACATGATTAAAACTAAGATGGAAGCACACAGGGAAAACTTTCCCATTATATGTAATTACATACAATCCGCTGGCCAGGTACCCTTTCCAGAATACCAGAGAACTGATGACAGAGATAGTATTTGGGATAGTAAGATACAAGGTGCTTCCCCATCATCACTCCTATACCCCAGATAAAGACATAACCACCCTGATGCCTAGTTTGGCTTGACAACTACTAAAGCCCAGCATTTGTTAATATTCCCTTCACAAAAGTGGTTAGATTATCAGCTCACATTTTTCCATCATTACATCATAAGCCACAGTATAAAAAGGGAATAAAATAGTAAGAACACAGCTCTTTGAATTCCAGCAGGACCTGCTCAAAGGGTCACCAACAGCTATGCTCTACATATGAAAAACTCTGGACAAGCCACCAGGTATATAAGTAGCATCAGCAACTTAGCTAAATAAATTGGACTTAGTGCTGGGTTATATGTGGTCTTTTCTTTCCGATCCAATAACCTGAACTGTAATATTGCAATCATCTTTGTTTTAAAAAATAGGAGTAACCTTTCATCATTTATAACTGTGGTTGTTCATGAATCAACTTGTGTCAAGAAACTCACCTGGTCCCCAAAGTCTCAGTTCTTAAACTTTAGTGTATATGATTTACTGAGTGCTCTCTATAATGCATATTACCAGGCCTCATCCCAAGAGATTTTGATATGACTGGATGGAAGATGGGGCCCAAATATTTGCATTTTTAAATAAAAAACCGAGGTGATTTCTGATGCAGCTGGTTAACATTGAGAAACACTGACAAGAGTACATTGATGGATAATTACCCTAATTTAAAAGTAAAGAAACTACTCAGATTACTTTTTTCAAATGTGCTGAACACAGAACAATATTTGAGAAAACACACAAACTTAGATATAATGACTTATTCACTTAATACATATCACAGCCTAGTGTACATTCATTTTTCTATGCTTAAACATAAAGGAACTTTTAGCCATGGTTTCAGCTCTCCTGCCTGGGAGGCTGAGACCTGCAGGCCTTTCAGGGTATCCAAGCCCCAGCTTGGCTACCTGATGAGAAATCTGCACTGCATATCCTTCGAAAACCTTTCAAGTGGGTGCTGGTGTCACGATCTTGAATTTACAATTCCAGTTGCTAGATATTAGTGCAGTGCATACAGACTTCCCTTAAAACTTCTCCCCCATCCCCTTCCAATCGGTCACCTAATTCTAGTTATTTAGACTTAAGAAATCTCTCTGAATCCAGGTTTCTTCTCTCCGTTTTCACTGTCAGTACTCAGTTTAGGATCTCCTTAAGTCTGAACATACCAATCCCTAATTGAAAGACTTTTACTTGCAGAACAAAATCAAAACTCCTTAGCCTAGTGTACATGGTCCTTTTCAGTCAGGTTCAGAGTTTTCTCTCCAGTGTAATGTCATCTACTCCCACTCCCTGCTGTCACCCTCTCCCAATCCAACACAAAATTACAAACATAAGTAATTCTGACAACTCCGCACATGACATTTTGCCTGGAATTGGCTTTTTCCTTATTTATTTGCCTGTAAAATTATCAATCTTCCAGTTTTTGAGACCTTTCTTAATGTCCTCAGGCAGAATTCTCCATGCTTTGTTTCTCCGTAACACCGTTCATGCGTCTATTATAACCAACGTCTTACACAGTGCTGTGTCTGCTTGCTCGCCTGTCTCCTCCGTTAACTGGTCACTAGGGATATGCAGGCCTGGGAACTTGTCAGAGATTACTTCGGAAAAAGGGTCCATTTAATTTTCAGTTCTACCAGCAAAGAGGAAGTGTCCATTTCTGTTTCTTGCCAATACTAAGTTTCTTAACCCTTGCCAGTTTGGCAGGTGAAAAATGGTTTTATGTTATAGTTTTAATGTAATTTTAATTTCTTTAATATAGTTGTCCTTCCTTATCCACGGTTTCCATTTCTGTGGTTTCAGTTACCAGTGGTCAACCATGGTCTGAAAATACTAAATGGAAAACTTCTGAAATAATAATTCATAAGTTTTAAACTCCACGCCATCCTGAATAGGGTGATGAAATCTCATGCCATCCGCTTGGCACACGAATCATCCCTTTGTCCATCACATCCGTCCTGTAGATGCCACCTGCCTGTTAGTCACTTAGTAGTGGTCTTGGTTATCAGACTGAAAAAACATGGTATATATAAGGTTTGGTACTATCTGTGGTTTCGGGCATCCACTGAGGCTCTTGGAATGTATTGCCCATGAGATAAGGGAGGACCACTGTAATCAGGTTGATCATTTTTTTTTTACACTTAACCACTATTTCATAGTAATGCCTGCATATTCCTCACTAATTTTATATTGGGATAAGGCAATCTTCTTTTTCTTAATGATTTATAAGAACTCTTTATATATAAAGATACTAACCCATCTTTCTCATAAATATTGTAAATATATGGTGTTCTAAAAATTTATAAGGTTTTATATTTTGAGATAGTCAATCTTTGATTTTGTTTTCTTCTTTTGTTTTATTCTTTGGAAGTTCTTCTCCAATCCAAGATCAGATACATACTCATTCATATTCACCTACTCTCTTCGGCTTCATTTATGGATTTATTTTTCATACTTCAAGTTGTATATAACTTTATTATTTTTTCCCAAATAATTCGTCTGTTAATTTTCTAATATTAGAAATGGAAAAGAACAAAGATAATAATGACATAACAACTACCCTCACCCTTAAGTTTTAACTGTGTTGGCATGTTTTATCTCTTAAAACTGGATAAATGAGCATTTGTTACATTTTTGTTTTATACTTTTCTGCATGACTTAAGTGTTGCATTTTTAAAAAAGATCTTTAAAATAAAAATAAAGAGAAATCCCCTCTAGCCAGACCGATATTTTGTGTCTTGAATTGAAATAAACTAGGACCTCTGCAAATTGTCTTAATGAAAAATTAGCACTTTATTCACATATTTCCTACTTTTCAGCATAGCATTTTAATTCAAAACTACTAAGAAAACATTCCTCTAGAATAGCATTTCTACACATTATGTTTTATAAGCTGTCAATTAAGTTCTACTCACAGCACTGTGATGCACCAGAGTATTACAGTTAAAAGTGCAGGCTCTGGAACTAGACTATCTGGACCTAAATTCATGGTTCTGCCACTTATTAGCTGTGTGACCTTGGGCACACAATCTTTCTGTGCCTTAGTTTCTTCATCTGTTGAATGGAGATGTTAATAGCTACCTCAGGGGGTCATTCTGAGGATAAATAAGTTAGTGTAGTTAAAGCTCTCAGAAGAGTGTCTGGCATAAGTATTGAAAAATGTTATTTTCTGTAATAATAATGACTAACACTTATCCATTACTTTAGAACACTTCACAACTACAGAAAATGGGAAGTGCTGCAAAGAGAGTTAAGAGGAGAATCAGAACCAGGAATGTCACAGAAGTCAAAGGAAACATGCAATGGTACAGCTGTTAACAAAGAAAGATACTGAGGAAAAGTTACCAAAAAATGATTAGGTGAGTATTTATGGGTATATGTTTTAGTGTGTACATAAATGTATAGATTTGGTGGGTCTAACAAAGCCAGACATTTGCTTTAAGAAGGATACTATGTTAATTAGCTCAAATAAAACTAGACTGACGAGTGCTAAGGCTAATAGTAAATAAACCCAAACGAGGAGCTACACATTAAATCATTGCTGATATATACCAGAAATTCTGTCCCTATGTTTTCTTGGATGATCCTTTAACAGCTCTACCCATTTGTACATAGGAATATGTTATAAATTAGTAGAGTGTTAAAGGCCATCTAGTCTTCGCTTGACTCCTCTCTAGAACAATGCTACACAATGTGGTTGAAAATTTGTCTCTCTAATTGGTTCCTGTTCTAATACCTCTTCCAAGGAAGGTTCTTTAAATGTTTGGTGCTTTTTATGATCTCTCACACTTTGAAATAATTTCTTCAGAAGGCAAACTTCTTAGCTCCTTCCCTTGCTATATGTATAATACTTTCAAATGACCCACTGCCACTTGGTTATTCTCTTTTTTATACCCTCCAATTTGTATACATGAATCTTAAAATGTGACATTCAAAATAGAATGCAAACTGTAGGTTGTTGATTCATGTCAGAGACACAGATACAATTTTATGAGTTAATGAAGTAATGAAGACTCAAATGTAAAAAACAATGGAAATTATGTTGCAGAGGCACAACAAAATCCAAATTATATTTTAAATGTGCTCTTTACATTTAGGATTTCAAAGAGTATATTAAATAAAAAATTTTCACAAAATGTACCCTATACATTTTACAGTCAGTCTTGATATTAGTTTTATCTACATGCACAGTTGTGAGATGAGAGAAAGAAATCCTTATTACTTACTGTTGTTATGACAAAATTTTTAAAAAATCAATGAAGAATGATTCAAAGGGCAGGGCCAGAAGTTAAAAAAAAAAAAAAAAGTAACAAAAATCAAAAGTAAATGTGCTTTCAAACACAGCACAACGATTATTTGGGGGAGGGAGCAAGGAAAGTATAAGTCAGTGAACATGAAAACAGACTGTTACATAACTCAGGGCATACCTCATTTGGTCTGAAAATCGCTTCATAAACTAATTCTATATGTTACGATACGCAGAGAAATCATTAACTTGTCAAATAGCACAAAAGAAAAAATATATAGAAAGGATTAGGGTTGTTATAGTCCTGAATCTAAATCAAAAAAAAAGATAACAATACCTGTTCTACTCCATAGGACTATTTTAAAGGTCAAAAGAGAATACATAAGAAGTTAAATGAGAGACTAGAATATATATGGAAGCACTTTGGGAGCTGAAAAGCACTATATATTATAAGGTATCAAAGCAGCATTTATGCATCAATAGTTTTACAACATTAATAATAGGAACTTAATTTTTAGAAGTTTTATACAAGGCACATTGAATGGCCTTCAATGTCTCTGAACTCTGAGTTTCTTTAGCTTTATTACTATCAATAATCACTAATTTTATAATATTTAGTTTTATCATACCTCACATAAAATATTCAACATTTTCACTGCTGAAACACCAATTCTACCTTTGCCATTCTAAATTATTTCCTTCTAGTTTCAAGAAAGTTCGTATAAGATATTTGTGGTTAGAATGATAAGATTTCTGATAATACAGCCAATGCACATCATTATTCGTATACTGAAGGTCCTGTGTTAGGGAACAAAAAGGATACCTGAAATTAGATACCTGATCTAAGTGTAACTTTTTCCTTTAGCTAACCAAATCCTGATGTTCATTCCACGTTCAATGAATAACAATGTTTATAAATGCTGTAGTATCTAGTAAGCCAATAAATGGCTATTCTAAATCAAGATACTTAATTAAATGACTTTAACATAACCACATGAAAATGGCTCCATCAAATTGTTTTTGTGCATAATGATCATACCTCACCTTCCTCCATGTTCCTAACTCCACCTCAATTCCAAATACTGCCCACTTTACCCATTAGTTAATATTTGCATTTTTAAAGATGGTTTATATTTTTTTCTAAATCACAACTGAGTTACCATTTAAATGTATGGATTTGAATTAAGACTTCAGCTGATTTTTCAGTCCTGTTTCCCAAGTCACCTAATATAAAAACGTTTGATCATGAAACACAGTGTGCACACCTGACACTTGAGGGTCTGTGTGCAATATTTTTTTTTTTCTTAGAGACAGGGTCTTGCTCTGTTACCCAGGCTGGAGTACAGTGGTGTGATTATAGCTCACTGTAGCCTCAAACTCTTGGGCTCAAGCAATCCTCCCATCTCAGCCTCCCAAGTGCATCACCATGCCTGCCTAATATTTTTGTGGAGACCGGGTCTCACTATGTTGCCCAGGTGGTCTCGAACTACTTGCCTCAAGCGATCCTCCTACCTCACCCTCCCAAAGTGCTGGGATTACAGGTGTGAGCCACTGAACCCAGCCTTGTGTGCAATGTTAATACTATCTCCTAAATCACTACATTAGTCAAAGCACTTACAAAAGCTGAAAGTAGTATGATTATACAGTCAGTCCGCACTTAGTGTTGTTGATAGGTTCTTAGAAACTGTGACTTTAAGTGAAATGAAATGTAACAAAATCATTTCTTTTCTCGTCAGTGTTATAACGAAACAACTTTATTCGCTGGACGTTTCCAAGAACCTGTGGACGTTAAGTGAGGGGCTGACTATATACCTGAACATGACAAAAATGAACGCTTTATAGATTTTTGGTTGAATTTAATATATGTGTGTGATTTAGTAAATAAATTTATATCACTTTCATCCAAATCAATGAATGAGACATGCACACTAAAATAGTTTCAAACATTTGGTATTCTATGGCTCTAAAATTTAAATACCAAGCAAAGGAAAACTAATTAGGAAAATTTGTAGTTTGAATATAAATAGCAAAATATTTTAATAGACTTTAATTTTAACCACATTTTAATTTATTACCTTGGTTTGTTCGGGGCAAGCTGTCGACTTGGCCGTCTAATAGACTGGTTTGGTTGTATCTTCATCGAAGTTCTAGGAGATGACCGTGCAAAAGGGTCTGGAGCTGGGGGCTTTTTAGGTATCTTTTTTACCAACCGACTAACCCACTTCTGCTGCTCTTCTGTAGAATTCGCTAATAACAATAGATTCTTTGCCGTTGAAATATCATAATACACTATGAAGAAATATTTGAAAAAAGTTAATGTGCTTAAAATGATCTGAACATAAATAAAATTGATGGAGTGAGTAATTTACTAGTTACCTTTACAAGGTGCTATAATCTCCTCCTTTTTGTCCATGTGATCTTTATGACATTTAATATGGCAGCGACGGCACTCTAAAGCAGGAGGAGGTTTAAACATATGCCAGAGTGGCTTCATACAAGCCTCACAGTTGGTTGGGAAATGATAAAGAGTAGGAATAAATTCATGTCCTTTGTGGCAAATATAATTAGATTTTTCTCCAACTGGCTCCACTGGAAATTCTTGTTCCTTCTTACTTTCTCCTTCATTGGCATATAGAATCTATAAACAGTAAAAAAATAAATAAATGATTTCAAACATATTTTTTATGTAGTAACCATCCTGATAGTATAGATAAAGTAAAATTAGTCTTAATTATTCAGTGAGAAGAAAATGCCATTTGAAGTCAAAACCTAAGCAGGCTCTGTCTCATCAAGAGCTTCTGTAAGAAAAGACATTAGACAGTCACTTTGGTTCACATATCAAAAGAATTGATCCTGTTCAAATGCTGCCTCCTTATTTTCTCTACATTTTACTATGCTTTAGCAACATTATCAGGCCAGCAAAGGGTGAATTTGCACTTCGTAAGTGTTAGAAAGTGTTTTGAGAGAGATTGTTCAAAACGATTGCCTGAAGAAACGTGGCAACTACACTAATTGGTGTGTTATAATTCTTAAGAACAGAAAACTGTGTGACAGCTATAAGCACAGCTACATTTTAAACAATCCGTATTTGGAGAGTTGAAGGAGGGAAAAAAAGAGGAAAGGATGTGTAAAATACTATGAATAAACATTACAAGCATCCAGAAAACAAGGGGCCAATTCCCAAATAGCACACCAAGCACAATGGCTTTTATACACAAAAACTCAATGACTAATTGTTAGATTGACTAATTTTAAAATGAAAGAAGTAAAGGGTGGTTTTTGGCTTTCTTTTAAATTGGAAGTAAAAGGGATACCAGGTACAAAATTTAACTCCATAAGCAATTTTTTTAACTTTCTAGAGAGCTGAACACAAAATTGAAAACAGAAGGAAAAAGTTCATGCTTAAAAAAATTATAACCAACCTTAAAAATACAGCAAAGACCAGAAACATGATATAAATACACTACAGACTTTAACAATTAAAATGGTAAGCAGAATGAAGACGTATCCAAACAGAATAAAAGTCACAAAATAAAAAATCATTTTTAAATGGGACTGAAACAGAAAGGTAATATGAAGAAGGCCAAAAAATAAAGAAATTTGATCTGTCATATTATAACTTAGGTGAAAAAAATAAAACCAACCAACCAAACAAAAACAAAATAAAACTATGTTTACCTGGAATATCCTTGGAATTTCTTTAGCATCTGCTCTATATACATCTGTCTGTGTAACTGGTCGGACATGAAATAACTTGCTATGAAAGATTTTGAATAAAGAAATAAAATATTACCCAAGGATCAAATTATATTAATCTATACTTAAGTCAGAAGTTAAAAATTAACTACTTTGACCCATGTTAGGAGCTTACCGAATATCTTATTCTATTAATTCAATCATTACTTAAGATTTTTAGCAATTTCTAACTTTCATCTGTATAAAGCAAATTGCAAGAAAATGTAACAACAGTATGGTAGGAGCTGTACCATAGTTCTTATATGGCTAATAAATTACATTATTTGTTACTCTCTTACTATACTTTAAAAGATGAGAAAAGATATAGTTTCTAAATACTCTAATAAAAATACTTACTCAATATCTAAAACCATGTAAGGGTTAGATTGTTCTTTATCTTGTTCACTGTCATAGAAAAGAATCTTCTTACTGCTTACAATCACATACTGTTAAAAAGAGGGAGGAAAGGAATCAATGACTCAAGTTATTATATACCTTATTTATTGATTTTCTTTGAAAATAAATTCCATATTGGCAATAAAATCATATAAAATACCTAAGTAACTAAAAAGTACTTAATGTATCTTCAGGAAAGTATTCCTTAAAATAAGTTTTGTTTGTAGATATTTTAAATAAGCAAATGAGGGGAGAGGGTGAAGTTGAATATTTTTTGGACTTATTTAGCTTTGGGATCCAACAGCATTAGTAACTTTATCAAAAATGAACATAACATCAATAATCACAGTAACAGAGGAAAAGAAATAAAGGGGTCTTTTTTAAAAATCATATCCAGAGTTGTTTTCCCACTGAAACAGCAAAAGCACCAAGATCAACAGGCTTATACTTTCCTAACAACAAAACCTGTTTTATTAATAACACATGAAGAAAGTAACAAGTTTTACAAAGATAAATAAAATAACATCATTCCAAATCATAAAGTATAAACAAGTTTTACAGGTCTAGAAGTTCTAGTCATGTAAATCCAATGGTTGGAGTTACACCAAAAGCAAAACAACAAAACAAAACAAAAAACAATAAAATCCATATTCAAAAGTACCAATTACCTTTTTAACCCATCCAAATTTCTTAGTGTTGTTCCGCACAGGCAATGAAAGCCATCCTTCTAATCTTGACTCTATAAATAAAAGCACAAGATATAAGTATGTATGTAACGATTCCTTTGACAAGGAATTTAATAAAATTTTAAATGAAAGTCAGAAATCAAATAAGCCTTTCAGAATTTATCACTGTATATTATCTAGGATACAATAATAGCATAGGATCAGTAGAAACAAGTTATGTAATGCAAACCAAAATCTATGTTATATCACATTGGAAATAGATATTCTATAGTTTTTATAAAGTCAAATATCCCACTGATTAAATTCATGCATTTGCAAAATTCAGGAGAAAAGTTGCAAAAAAAGAAGGAAAAAAAAAACAAAACCAGGCAGCAGCAGCAGCTCTCGGTTGTCACTGGTCCACCGGCATTAGATTAGAGCCCTTTATTTTTCATTTGGAAGAAGGCCTAACTATACATAAAGTGCACATCTTTGAAGAGAAAACATTTTAAATAATTGTATGTTCAGAGAAAATTTACTTCTAGAATAGCCATAGTAAAATTGTATAAATTATACAAATTTAGTTAACGAGCATCAATATAACCAAAAGGTATCTAAATTCCAAAATATCAAAATCAATAAAATTCTAGTTCAACAAAGGAAAGTGTCTGAATCCTTGGAATTTATCCTAAATGATATGTGATCAGTATCTTTTAATGAAATAAGTAAAATAGCATTTGGGGAGGTTATTCTATTAATAATAGTAAAAGTAGCTATCACTTATTTAACATCTACTATGTGTCAACTGTGCTTAGATGCTTTATATAAATTCTCTTCAATCCTCCCAACAACCCCACAGAACAGGAATTATACCCTTAATTTTGATGAGAAAATGGAAGTCTTGAAAGATCACACAGAGATGCCTCTTTGACATTAAATGAAGAAACTCTCTGTTTTTTAATTTAAACTAAAAGTCCTTTCAGGGTAAAGATCACCCCAAATTGCTTCATATTCTCTTATAAGGCCTAGCACAATGTGACTAGGTAAGCACTCCATAAAAACCTAAGGATATCCTCTGAAACAGTCTACATGTTTTTTTCTGTACTGTCACTCCTAATATTAAACTTCGTAAAGAAATTCTTCTTGGTTGAAACGGCTAAAACAAGTAGTGAAACCATGCATTCTTAAGCGATATAATGTACTGCTCCATTCTTGTTAAGTTGGCAAAATAAATGACCGATCACAATTACAACAGTAATGCCATATGAAAATACCTGAAAAACAAATTCTTTGTTCATGCAGTTTATTTTTAATTGAGTATAGAGCAACATGTTAGAGTTAGTGAATATTAGTTAATGTTATAAAAATTTTTCAAAAGGGCTAAAATCAAGGGTAGTAGGAAAAACTCTAAAGATGAAAAGATTTTCAGGATATCACCTGTACCATTAGGTTCCGTTGAAATGGGTAAGTAAGGCAAAGATTCTTCTTCTGAGTCAGAGTCAGAGTCAAGGAGCGTGTGAGAACTGGAAGGCTTAGTGGCAATATTGAGAGAAGTAGAGGAACGCTGGTAGGTGAATGACATGGATTCCATAGTGTGTGATTGAGTGATATGAACTACACACCCAACATAAAAGTAAGAATGCAGAAAGAAGAGAAAATAAAATCAAAGCTTAAAAAGAGAGCTACTATAATATATAATGAGTTAATTTACATAACTAAACATGCAGTTTTCTTTTGCATGTTTATGAAAAAGTTTGTCAAAAACCAATAAATAAAATAATTCTAAAATGTTGTTTGAATCCCCACTCCAAAGCGTAGATTTTCCCTTTAAAAAATGACGAACATTTTTCCTCCAGAGCAAAGTCAGTCACAGGACCTAAACCAATCCACTGACTTATATTAAAAACAAACAGGAGGGATGAAAGCAAATCTGTACCTGGAAACCCATCATCTGCCTCAGCATCCCCTGGTCCACTGCCTATACTGGAACTATCCAGACCAATATGCAAGGCCTGTAGCTGTGACCGCAGCTGCTCAATGTCACTGTCTTTACTGTCCAGTGTCATCTGCAGTTCAATTCGAATCTGGCTCTCTTCAGCTATTTGCTATAAGAAATTAAATTAACGAATTAAATGGATGCAATATATCTCATGATTTTGCTTCTTGGTTCAATAATAATAATTAAGTAATAGAAATGTTCTACCAGTGAAATACACACAAACATGAAAATAATTCCACTTCTTAAAAAGAAGTCTTTAGAGTCCAAAAAGTATTCTTACAGCCTGCATTTCATTCAGTTCTTTCTGATACTTGATCATCTGCTGGGTCAATTTTTCACGTTCAGATTTAAGCTCCATGTGTAGCTTTCTATTCTCCTTCTCTTTTCTCCGCACATCTGTGTCACTACCACGCTTGACAGGTTCTTTTCGATTCATGATCTCAGCCAACTTATTCACAGCCTTAAAAACATAAAAATAAGTATGTAAATAAATTACATTGATGATTTCTAAGTAACTCATCAATAGCAAGTTATACAATCACTAATAATCTTCTTCCCTGTACCAGGGCTACAAAGAAACATTTCATATTATTTAAATAATATACCTTTATTACCCATTATCTACCTCCATTCTATACTGTTAGTTTTTTATGCGTTTTCTGAGAACTGTAATTTTAAATATTTATAGGTTTGATCTGATGTCACTTGCTACAACTTTTTAGTTCCAAAAGAAACTTTAACAGGCAGATCTTTCTTCCTTCATTCTAAAAGAAAATTTTGCACTGGCATCACATTAATAAAATACACCGCGTCCAACAACAGCGAAGTGTACCTAGTACCACACGCCTTTGTGCTGTATACACAACTGTGGGAGTTGGCAGAGGGGTGGCCAATAATCACAGGTGCCTTTTCAGACTCACCCTTTCAAGCTGTCAGCAAATGGTCATTCCCTATAGTTCCTTAAAAGCAGAAAAACTTATTAAATCACAATAAAAAATTGGGAGCGAACATGATTCCACATGGAAAAATTAAGGAAAAATGTGGGGGCCGGGCGTGGTGGCTCACGCCTGTAATCCTAGCTCTCTGGGAGGCCGAGGCGGGCGGATTGTTTGAGCTCAGGAGTTCGAAACCAGCCTGAGCAAGAGCGAGACCCCGTCTCTATTAAAATTAGAAAGAAATTAATCGGACAACTAAAAATATATAGAAAAAATTAGCCGGGCATGGTGGTGCATGCCTGTAGTCCCAGCTACTCGGGAGGCTGAGGCAGGAGGATCGCTTGAGCCCAGGACTTTGAGGTTGCTGTGAGCTAGGCTGAGGCCATGGCACTCTAGCCCAGGCAACACAGTGAGACTCTGTCTCAAAAAAAAAAAAAAAAAAAAAAGGAAAACTGTAGTAGATATTAAATTGGACAATATTAATCAAATCTAACTTCTCCCAACCTGGCAAAAATCAGTAATTGTGACTGTTCACAAATATTGATACATTCAGTGACTATTGCTTCCAATTTGTAATGCTAGAAGAGATAAACTAAAACAAAATTCAAAATCATATTTAGATTCTATTATACATACTTGAGTTTTGAGTGTTCTTTCTGTTAACAGCTGTTTCTCAAACTGTGCTTTAATAGCTGCTGCACTTATCTCTTCATCTTTCAACCTTGACAGTTCTGAAACATGGAAAAATTTAAAAATCTTATTGATAGCAATTACAGCAACTAATACTAGATATATTAAAAATTAACTTTATTCTTTGTTAATACGTACGCTCTTGAGCATCCTTCAATTTATTATTTAGTTCTTCTTTCTCATTTGCAAGATTGGCAACATCACTAGTTAGTGTCCTATTAGTTTCTTCAAGCTAAGAAATTAAAGTGGAAAAAAAAATCACATCCCTGTTTATAAAATTTAAGTTATAAAACAACAATTCAAATTGAAAACATCCTGCAATGTTACTGAACCTCTTGTTTTTCTAAGTATATCCATTGCTACACTTCCTGTCCTTGTGATACCTTGCCCAACTTCATCCTTGATAAAAGTTTCGCTAACTATAACAGATTTCATATGTACCCCAGGAAGCCAAAAATTTGCCCTTTCTTCATAAATCCTTAGCAGTTTTTTCTAAATGAGGAAAACATTTAATAAAGCAAAAAAAGGAAATTCGAAGGCCTGAATTATAATTATGAAGAATAAAATTTAAAAACTAATATTTCTTTCACAGTATTATTTTTAAATCGAAAATAAAATTTTATTGAAGAAGCTGACTTTATTTTGTATTCCTTCCAAATTCTATTTCTATTCTTCTTTCCTGAAGGAAGTTTTATTATAAACTATATTCACCTTTTTCACCTATAAATCTGTTTTATTACATATATCTGAAACAATATATAGTGTGGTTTTATGTGATTTCCAATCATACTGTATTTATCTCTCTGTAACTGTTTTCACTCAATACGTTAAAGAATTAAATTGCTGATATATATAAAGATCTAACTAATTCATTTTAACTGACACAATTAGTTTCACCTACCACATTTAATGTACCCATTCACTCGTCTACTAATAAGACATCTGGGCCAGGTGCAGGGGCTCATGCCTGTAATCTCACCACTTTGGGAAGTTGAGTATGGAGGGGATCACTTGAGGCTAGGAGTTTGAGACCAGCCTGGGCAACACAGTGAGATTCCATCTCTATAAAAAATAATTAGCCAAGTGTGCTGGTGTGCGCCTATAGTCCTAGCTACTTAGGAGGCTGAGGTGGGAGGATCACTTGAGCCCAGGAGTTCGAGGATACAGTTAGCTAAGATCATGCCACTGTACTCTAGCCTGGGTAATAAAGCAAGACCCTGTCTCTTAAAAACAAATTGAGATTTTGCTGTGACAGTTATGCTGTTAAAAGTGTCATGCCTGAGTTTCTATAGTGTTTTTATCTTAAGGTGGACTTTCTCTGGACAGTATTATATGAATATTTAAGATTTACTGGAAATTGCCAATTTACTATACTATGCTCTGCCATACTAAATTCACACTCCCCATAGTAGTAAATAAGAATGCCCTCTTCCAGTCTTCAAACACTTGGCATTGTCGGATAATGAATTTCTGTCAATGTGATGGGTATGAAATGGTCTTTCAAAGTTGTTTTATCTAGGCTTTTCTCAGAGAGTAGTGAGGTTAAGCAACTGCTTATCTATTTAGGTTCTTCTTTTGGCCAATTTTTGAATTATTTAAAAAATTATTTAAAAAATTCCAATTTTTTGAATTATTTAACCTTTTCTTACTGAATTGAAGGAGTGCCACATATATTCTAGATACAAATCCCCTATTTAATAAATATATTGCAAATTATCTCCTCCCTGTTATTTATTTATGTTGTCTTCTGTTATATATAAGTTTTGGATTCTAATAGCTTCAAATTTTCATTTTTCATATTGAGGTCCTTAAGATAGCTAGAATTTACTTTTGTGTGTGGCATGGTAGGAATTTAATTTTATTCCTTTCCACATAAAAATACAGTTTTTTCTAAAACCATTTATTAAATCTGTATCCTTTCCCACTGATTTGTGTACTGCCACTTCCATCACATACCAATTTCCTGTATGTGTCAGAATCTATTTCTACCTTCCCTATTCATTTCCACTGAACAGGATTAAATATCCTTTTCTAATACCACACTTCTCGATAATTGCAGCATTTCAATAGGTCTGGATAATTGATAGGGTAAACCCAACTACCTGATATTTTACTTCTCTTTGAAATTTTTATTGCTATTTTTTCAATCTGCCTAAAACTAAATGTCTTCATGGCAGTTTCAAGATTCTTTTGAATTAAACTCTGTCTAAAGACAAGAAAAATTCTTTTCTACTTTTGGTATTTTCCCTTTCAGTTTAGTCCTTTAACTTTGAATTTGCCAATAGTGAAGTCACTGAAAATAGTTCTTCAGGAAGCCTCTCTCTACCAAATAACACTGAGAAGCTGATGGTTAAATGGATTAAAAATCTTGTAGGCAGCATATATAATTTTTCATTTAATCTATGACATTTTCCTAGTGATTCTAAAGAAGATTTATGATACAATTTAATTATAATCCAAAAAAGTACTAAGAATTTTACTTACAGATGCAATTGTAGCATCTTTTTCAGCAAGTTCCTGTTTGTGTCTAGCCATCATCTCTTTGATCTCAAGCTCTTTCATGATTTTCTCTTTTTCCAAATCAGAGTATTGTTCTTCAGCAATTGAACGAGCCAGCTGTTCAGAATCTGCTTTAGTCAAGGTGATCTCCAGTTGAGCAGCCAAAGAGTCCCTACATTTTAGAGAGATCTCATTTTAATGTTCAATTTTCATTATGAAGTGAAAGTTTTTATCTAATTCACCAACAAATTTTTATTCATCAATAAATTAATACCAGGCACTGTTCTAGGAGCAGAGTATATAGCTATGGACAAAAGAGACAGGGTCTTGTCCTTACCTTTCATCCTGTAATTCCTGTTTCTTCTGCTGTAATTCTTTACAAAGTTTGGTCTTTTCTTCACATTCTTCTTTAAGTTCCCGAACTTGTGTTTTATAGAGGGTCTAAATAAAAAAATAGAATAGAAATTTATAGCATCATCATCAGGAATATTGTTTCTACATTCAAAACCTATCCAGACGAAAAGGGAAACATACAAATATTTTTTTAATATTCAGCCCCTGAGTAAATTAATACTTTAATGATCTGTCCCATTTTCTGGTCATCGGCTGATTGATTAATAAAAAGTTAAGTTAATAATTTAGAAGCGTGATTTATGACTGGCTATCATAGTGGTTATTTCTTATTGCATGGCAGAGATAGGTAGGATGAATGAGGAGGCAAGGAAACATATTACTAATTTAGACAAGAAAATTTTGTTGGCTTGTACTTCATACTTTAAAACTGATCTTTAAAAAGTACAAAGGTTAAAATGACAATTTTATTTATTATGAAAATATATTCTTCCTCAAAAAGCAATGCTTTTAATCAGCTTCTATGGTATGTGCTTAGGATTATTTTTGTAGCAATGATAATGGATTTAAAAGCTAAACGGTCTTCTTTTGCCCAGTTGCTCTTTTTAAGAGTTGCGTGATACAAAACATCCCATCCATAACTCTGTCTGGTGTTTGCTACACAAATATATTCTAAAGACAAGAATCATTCTCCTGGTTATTAGTAAAAGTTAAAAAACAAAATTCTACAAATACAGCAATTTTCAAATTAATGTGTCTAGAACTTACTGAGAAATACTGTTCCGCTTCAAGCTGATCCTGGAGCTCTTTCATTTGCCCATCTGCATCTTGACGTTCTCTGTGAGGATATCAAATCAAAGGTTTGAATAAATTATATACATTTTAAACCAGCAAGTTTTGAAGTATGGTCTGGGGAACTCCTGGGAGTCCCTGAGGTCCTTTCAGGAAATCCATGGGGTCAAATCATTTTCATAATAATACTAAGCACCACTGCATTTTTTTAACTCTTATTGCCTCACTAGTGCATCTGGACTTTTCCTGCAGCTACATGACATACAATGGCTAATGAAGTGTGTGCTTGTGTGTTCTTGTGTTTCAAAATTGTCTCAGTTTTAATTTTGAACACACACAACAGATATCATTAGATAAATCACATAAACAAGAACCCTTTGGAACCCTCAACAATTTTTAAGAATATAAAGGTGGTCTGAGACCCAACAGTGTTATACTAAACAACACTGAATTATGCATTCCCATACATACACTGTTATCAACCATGTATGCCAACCACATAGAATTCAAGGAGTACCTGAAATTTGGTTATCTTTGGGAGAGTGAAAGAAATGCCTGGGAGAGGGCCTGTAAGGAGATCAGGAGTGCTCGTTTTATATCTAAATCTGGATAGTGACTGCACAGATTTACGTACTTTGAAAAAATTCACTGAGCTCTACACTTATTTGTGTACTTTTTCCATATGTTTGTTAATCTTCAATAAAGAAATAAAGTAAAAAATAAAATAAAAAGTGAGCCCAACAACCCATTTAAGAAGATGGGTTCAAATACTACATTAAATTCTACGCTCCTTGCAAAAACATAAAAATTATAGTTACTGCAAGCCAAAACTAAGGGGAAAAAAGCAAGTTGGAAAACAATGTAACTTGTATGATATAATTAACAAATAAGCAAAAACCAAAATAAAATGTACAAAAAGCCAACCCTATATATTAATATATTTGTTCAGATATAAAGGTACAGGTACAGAAATAGGATAAATAAAGGATAGATAACAAACTGTTAAGATATGTTATCTCTGCAGAGAGGAAAATGTCTGAATTCATGAAGGGGAACTTCTATTGTTTTCTTTCTTTATTTATTTAAATATAGATCTGAGTATTTTACAATGAGAGATATTTGGATACCACTTGGATATTTAAAAAAATGTA